TTGGATAAAACCCAATGTCAACACTGGGAGGAAGGCAAGCTATGGGGAGGTGGCAAGGTTACCAGTGAGAGGAAAGTAAAAAAAAAAAGATGTATTTGAAAAAGAAATATCCCTGAAATAAATTCCTCCCAAGTCCTTTGACAGAGTAATGGTGGGAGAAGCCCTTGCATAACCTCTTTCCTCAGTGAGATAATTACAAAAACATTGCTGTAATCCAGCATGCCACATAGGGTAAAAGAAAAAGACCGATGGATGGAAATGTACTTAGTGGCAAACTGAAAAAGAAAACGAAAGAGGGAACGGCAAGGCAGACAGACGCTGTCCATAAAACGGAGAATGAGCAATAAAAAGAGGTTTGGTGAAGTGATGCTGGAGGGAGTAGGAGGTTTGGCAGATGTTGGATGCACAGTGTCCACGTGGATGTGAAGTCATGTAGCTGGTTCTGGAATGACAGGATGGGATCTGGAGGTTCCACCACACTAAATCTGTACTTTGCTAACTTTCATTTGCAACGCATAGACTAAACATTTAATATTTTACAACACAGAAAATTACTTTTCTTAAGAAATTATGGAAATATCTTACTCAAAAATATGCTTTAGTACAATAACTTTTAAATTAAGTTTCAGATTAAACATACCACAAAATATTGTATTGGGTTTAAGAGCCATATTATTAGTGGGTCCATTTTAACTATAAAGCTTTAAAACTTCAAACAAACAAAAATAATAATAGAAATAATAAACAAAAAACATGAATAACTTTACTTATAATATTTAACATTGGAACGGTCAAAATCACCTCAATTTGTATCATTCTATTAACATTTTAATGAATGGAGAGACCAACAGAGCAACATTTTTTAGCAAGTTTATCTTAATTTTTTTTATGTTAGAACATTTCTCTCATTAAAGACATTGTTTAATTAATAAAAAAAATAAAAGATCCAGTTTCCAATTATTAATATGTCAAATACGAGTGAAACTAAAAAGAATAAAAAAGCTGAAAATAGAGTAAATTTAACAGTAGTTGGGTTATTCATCAAATGATATAGACTAATACGCCCTGTCTAATGCAAGTCTGAGACATGTACACACACTGATCACCAATGCAAACAACAAAGCTCTCAGACCTATTACAGTAGATCATCCCTCCATCTGGACAGCATTTGTTGTCTATGACTGGTTAGCACCTGATTAGTGAATATCCTTTGTTCTGATGAAGAAGTGAAAAAAAAACAATGAGCTGAAACATTTAGGCCTGACAAAAAAAGGTTTGCCTTACTGACCCTTCTCTTCTGCACATTTGAGATACATAAAAAAATAAACATATATTTAATAAGCTGATATACGTAATCATGTCTCTAGATGATTGGGGGTAAGTGTTACCTTTATCTTATAAGCCCAGACAATAATTCTACACTGCAGCTTTTCCTCTAAAGCCATAGTAATACATAAGCGCACTGTTTAAGTCTGCAACAAAATCAATAAAACTAAGTGCAAGTCCCAAACAGAGGAAACAGAGCTAAAGATGGAGCTATCCTGTACTAAACCAGGTGTGACAGGGTTTAGGAGCCAAGTTGACTAACTTGGCAAAGGGCCAAGCAGATGTTATCACCACGTACCATATTGGAGACTTTTCAAATTTTCATTTGTGCAGGAAGAATGTTCTAAAAAGCAAATCTACATAACTGGACTTAAACAGAGAAACAATCCTGATTCAACACTCTACAGCTTTGGTGATGCAATGAATTAAAGCCAGGCAAAATAGCACAGTTGGTTCGGAGAGTACATCAACAAAGCTGTGGGGAAGCTCAGAGCCCAGCTGCATGGAAGAGCAGAGCTCAACAGCCTCTCAGAGAGACAGATAAGTAAAACAAAGAGGCCAGCTGTGCTTAGAACAATGCGAAGAAAAAGACGCCGAAAACAGTGGAGGATGAGTCTGTTTGTGTTGTATATGAGTTTAGGTGCAAATGCTTCATAATGTTGGAGGTTGCATGCAATTTCTTTGTTTATGTCGCAAAAACACATCCATAGAAGCAAAGCACTAAAGCAAGAGAACACAGAATTTTAGGGAACACATACGCTTTATTTTTTTAATGCTGTCTCAATTCATAGAAGGCAGTTAATGAAATTTAATCTTTTCATGTCCAGGCTTCCTCATGATGACATGGGTAGAAAGAAGATTGGAGAATATTTAACTCTATTCATGGAAGCAATTCATTAAAAAAGACAACACAATATCTTCTCTGCCAAAGTACAGTTTTTTTTTTTTTTTTTATATATATATTTTATTTATTTTGTTGTTCCAAGCATGGAACTTTGTATTATTGAAGTTGTGTTTCCCCCAAAACAGTATCCTATTGCTAATAATTTTATACACCCTTCAAGAATAAAACTCTATTACAATATTCTGTTGATGGCAATGTAGAAATTCATAGAGTGTAGCCAATAGATTAAAAGAGAAACAGAGCTGTACCTGCCAAAATCCCATTATATTAGAGTTTTAACCAGATTCTTGACTGATTTGATCAATATAGGAATGATCTAAAGCCTGTCACAGCTCCTGTTAAAAACTGATTTTAGAGCCTTTTAAGCTTTTTAAACCATACAAAACCAGCGAATAAAGGATATTGAAAGGAAAGTGAAAAAGATATTTAAAGAGGCTGCACCATCAGATGGAGGACTGACTGTCTGAGATGCATTTCTGCATACTAACCAACACACATTTTTTTCAAAAAGGTTGACAGCTGATAAAACCATCTTTTAAATCACCTCTATGTGAGAAGTCTATGAAAAGAATACAGACTTTAACCCTGGATAAACTTTAAAATACACAACCGCTCACTGAGCCCTGGGGCAAGATATCACCGCCCTTGCCAATGGAACTAATAGAGCACTTCCTGCAGCAAACTCTACAAGCAGCTGCTGTGTTCTGTGTGAGTACATGATGAAACAGACTGGGGCTATATGATGAATTCTTTAGAGCAACCGGGCAGAGGCCATTGTGTTCTTATTCCCACTTTATTCCGTCAAATTTAGCGGAGAATCCCACAACTGGGGAACAGGTCAAAAAGATAAAACATACCAGAAAAAAGGTGAAGAAAGTTATATGACAAGTAACCTTGCAGTCTCAGCAGACACAATGTCTGCAGTACACCTGGTTCACACATGGAGAAACACTCACACTTTAACAAAAACATGTGCTTATCATGGGTTAGATAAGAAACTTCAAAGCAATGCAAATCAAAAACACAAGCTACAGCAGCCTGCATTAAGTTATGTTTGGTACAATAATGTTTCTGAATTAAAAAAAAAAACAACAAACTAACTGGAATGGTCTCTTTACAAACCCACATGTGACTTACCTAGATGCAGCACAGAGACTGTTGTCAAGATTATGATGAAGTCCAGAAAACCAGACAGGGGTTTCTGCTCTGAGGCTGTGCAGTCGACAGTTAGTCGCTCCTATCTCCCTGATGGCCTGGCCAAGCCTTAAGTGACACTGGCCAGGTCTCCTTTCTTTTCTCTCCCTGTTTCTTCTTCACAACATCCATGTCAGACCACACTCAGAAAACAGCAACATGACTTATTTTGCAGAAACCTGTACCTAGGCAACGCTGAGAAAACAGGGGTGTAACACTCCTTCTTTCTCCTAAAACACACTTATATCAAGCCTCCATCTTTAGACACAGCATGAAAGTTATACAGACTCTCATGCAGTATCCCTCCTCTTCCCATATGTCCGGTTTACCATACAACAGATGCACATGTCTTTTTTATACTTTCTTCTGCTTTGCTTGCCAAGTGGAAAAATGAATTGCTTTCTGGGTAAATGAGAGCTAAAGAATAGGCTGATCACAGATTTAGATTACATTAAATGTTTTTAAATGAAAATAAAATCAAGGATATTAAAGAAAGAAACAAAACAGGGAATATTTTTCTTCACAAATGCATGAAAATGCCGCTGTTTGTCCCTCTAAGAATTTGAATAGTTTTCTTGAAATCTTTCCAGATAAAATAGTGAAAATGTCTTACTGTCCGTCCTAATTTACAATCAAGTTCAGTGTAACAAATTAGCCTGAACTACAAAAAAAAATGGAATTTTATTACATGGTTATTAATATGGACCATATGGAAGGAAAAGCTGTGCACAATTTCAGAAAGCCTCCCTCATACCTGAGTCGACAAGGATGAAGAGATAAAGAGGAGAGGATGATGTACCATCTGTACAGTACAGAGCAGCTTTAGGAATTAGGACTAAACACACAGACACACACACATGCACACAAAGTGAACTGTTTGCCAGACAGTACACTCTCACTGATCCTGCTGAGACATATACTGACATTACAAATACACCTTTTAGCAACACCAAAGTAATCTTCAATATTTGCTCCTACCTCCACTCTAGTAGAGTCCGCTCTTCAGTTCTTGAAGAAAGTCAACTGCAGTGACACAGTTTTGCTTTCTGGTCCTCTGCTTTTTGTCCTCCTTTGTGACTCCACGCCTTCATATGTCAGGCATGTGTTTGCATTCCCACATATGTGAGCTCCAGCGCAGCGAAGGCCAAAGCCAGAGACACAGATGGTACCCAGATGGAGATGGATAGCTGAGCAGCCCAGAAGACAGCACTTAACAAATTCAAATAATATTGCCTACTTCCCTCTTCTCCTTGAGGTTTTCATAGGTCTAATGTGAAGCGTTCTGTCACTGTCTATCTCTGTTTCTCAGTCTGCTGGACTAAAGTCACTCTCTCTGATGGAGTCCCTGAATATGCCTCCTCTCTCAGCTGGCTCACTCAAGCTCTGAGCTTCCTACTCTCTCACTCTCTGCCTTTCAGCTCAGGCTCCTCCTCAGTTTTCCCACATGCTGTTCTCTTCTCTCTTTCATGGGTCGAGTGCTCAAGCTACGTCACAAACTGCCTCCCTCTGAGCCCCACCTCCCACTCTCCACATGGATTCTGGCCAATCCTCCAGTGCAGACCGGCCCCATTCAACTTGCATTCACCGGCAATGGACCCTACAATTAACATAACTAATTGCTTTGGCACATAAAGGCTAAACAACAGTCTGTGCCAAAAGAAGACAATCATAAGTGTGTGTGTGTGCATCTGCATCTGCGTTAAGGCAAGTCTTTCATAGTTTTGTTGCCTGCCAGCCTCCCCTCTACACTATTGAGAAAAGTACGGATCTCCCTTTAAAGAGTTTTTATGCCAGAAACGCCACCTCCTCTTCTTAAGATGAAGTTTGCTTTTGTCTATTTAATGCAGCCAGCTCCGCTTTGAATCGCCAGTCAATGAAAAGGGGAGACACTTGAGGAGTGTGAAAGCGTTATTCTGCTCAATATCCACTACTCTCTGTCTTTACTAAGTTAAACCTAAATTACCAACTGATTTATGTCTGGCCTTGTGCAAACAGACACATTGCAAATCAACAGAATGGTCCCTAGTAAAGAGCAAAGGATAGGCTGCTTATAATTCACTCCTTAGTCCCAACACCCAAGTTTCTACTAATATTCCACTTATAAACTGCAATGCTGAGATTTGGGCATGTTTCACGGAGTTTCCAAGAAAGCTCAACTGCAAAATGTGGATAAAACCCTCTGGGTTGGTTTTCAGTCTATAGCTCAAGCAGAAAAGTTAAAATATATAGAAGTTTGTTCAAAGGTGAGGGTAGGATAGATGGATTAAGGTCTTATTAACCGTTATGCAGACACAGCATGAGTCTGCTGAGCAAAGGAAAGAGATGAGCTGATAAACTACCATCATTATCTATAGAGATGGATGGATGGATGGATGGATGGATGGATGGATGGATGGATGGATGGATGGATGGATGGATGGATGGATG